CCGTCGCGGAGATCGCGGCGCTCGAGACCGCCATCTTCGTACCCCGCGATTTCGCGGGCAGCGTCCAGCAGTTCCAGGTGCCGCCGCCGTACTACGTCCGCTTCGATCCGACGTCCGACGTCGACGTCCGCTGCTGGGCCTGCGGCTACGAGATATGCCCGGTCGATCTCACGCAAAAGGGGACGCAGTGCTTCTCGTGCCCGCACTGCCTCGCGGCCGTGCTGCGTCCGAACTGCGCGACGCACCGCGACGAGATCCGCGCGAGCCAGGCGCAGTACAAGGCGACGCCGAGCGGCCGGTGCGCTGTTTTGTCGAGCCAGCTCCGCGACAAGTACGGCACCGACGACGTCGCGGCGTTCTCCATCGCGGATCGCTGCCGCCTCGCGGCGGCGCTCCGCGCCGCGGCCGCGGCCGACGGCGTGCCCACGCTCGGCCCCGTCGCGGAGATCGCGGCGCTCGAGACCGCCATCTTCGTACCCCGCGATTTCGCGGGCAGCGTCCAGCAGTTCCAGGTGCCGCCGCCGTACTACGTCCGCTTCGATCCGACGTCCGACGTCGACGTCCGCTGCTGGGCCTGCGGCTACGAGATATGCCCGGTCGATCTCACGCAAAAGGGGACGCAGTGCTTCTCGTGCCCGCACTGCCTCGCGGCCGTGCTGCGTCCGACTCGGAACCAGTGCCGCGTCTGCGGGAAGCGCTTCGATACCGCCCGCCAGCTTAGCGGGCACCTTTACAACCAGCACACCGCGCTCGAACGCGACGGCTACTAAGCATAATTGCCCTCGCGCCCGAGCAAAGAGAACAGTGACTGTGTATGTAACCGAGCCAAGAACCTCAACGACCCGTAGTTGAGGCGAATCGGCGACGCATGGCGCTCCGCGTGGCATTGCGAGCGGTGCGCGCCGCGCCGCGGCTCGCGCGTCGACCGTCTCTCTACGCTGCGCGCGCGTTCTCGACCAGCGAAGCAGAAGCGCCGGCGGCAGAAACTCCCAAACCCGACGCGCCGCCGCCGCCGTCCACAGAGGAGCACACGTTCCAGGCCGAGACGCGGAGTCTGCTCAACATCGTCAGCAACGCCCTGTACACGGAGCGCGAGGTCTTCCTGCGCGAGCTGCTGTCCAACGCGTCCGACGCCCTCGAGAAGTGCCGCCTGCGCCGCGTGAGCAACGAGCCGACGGCCGACGGCGACGACGAGCTCCACATCGCCGTGACCGTCGACAAGGAGCGCAAGACGCTGACCATCGAGGACAGCGGCATCGGCATGACGGCGTCGGAGCTCGGCACGAACCTCGGCACCATCGCCCTCAGCGGCTCGAAGAAGTTCGCGGCGGAGGCGTCGAAGAAGGGCGACGACGC